GGTGGAGGGGAGCGACCTGTCGAGGCTGCAGCGGCCGGTGGTGGAGGGGAGGTGGCCGAGGACCTGGACGATGCAGCTGATGGCGACGCTGTAGCTGGTGGGGGAGGGGAGGGCACGGGAAGGGGTGATGCATCTGATTCTGGTGGTGGAGGGGGAGGGCGTCGGCTACGTCTGCGCGGCATCGGCGACGGCATCGGCGACGGCGACAGCGACGGCTAGGGTTTTGGGGATTTCCTCCCGGCGAGGCGAGGGGAAAAGAGAGAAGCTTTCTTCCTGGATAGGATGGATGGAATGGGAAGCGAGGAGAAGGGGAAAGCTAACGGAGGTCGCGTAAATGGGCCAGGCCCAGGCCCAGCGCGCAGGAACGAGAGCCCTCACGTCGCATGGGGATCTCCTAGGGCGAGTTTGGTTTCAACAAGTCACTTGACTTACAGTCAGAGGACTCACCTGATTTATAAGTCATCTGATCACATTTTTTCATCTTACTAGTAAGCATGCACATGCAATGCACGACTCTCAAATATAAAAAAAGTTTAATTAATTTTATTTATGTTTAATCAAGTAAATGTGTTCGTGCGTTGCAACAGGAGAAACAAAATTCTTGCGTTTCCTCGCGACTAATATGTGTTCTACTTATCCTCTTTCAAAGCTCGCACTCTCATGAGTCGTATTCACCTGGTCACCTCATCATCAAGTACGCGGACACATGCTTGGGGTTGTCACGGTCGAACATGTACTTTATGAACTCTGCCTCCTTCCCAGCTCTTGTCGTGTGGCCGTCATGCGTGCTCAAAGCAAAACTCGGTTATATGATGAAGTTGAATTCACTAAAGAAATTTTTAAAAATAATAATTAAAAGGGTAACAAAATATGTTTTTTAGTGTAAACAGGAATGGTTGGGAGGATTTCCAAGGAGTCATGAACCGGAGTCAGAGAAACTCTCATAGGTCCCCTAAAACATTTCCCATCAATCAACGCATAGGGACTCACCTATAAAGATCCTCACTTACAATTTGTTTAACTCCAGCAGACCTCTAAACCTCAACCCCTACATTTCAATGTCCTATATTTTATTAATTTTATGGAAATATCATACATTCATCATTGTAGTACCTTGCATTTTCATTTGAATGAACATTGGTACAATACAGAACTAACACATGAAACAGACAACCAAATAAAACTTAGTAATTCGAAGGCATCTCCGCTCATGCCAAGGAAAATCCCACTCATCGCGTATCGCGTTGCGGAACACATCCAATAGTTATTAATTATTACACTTAATAGTGAAAATACATCTCCGTTAAGTAAAAATGGAACACAAATCAGAACAATCGAATTACCATGGACCTACACGGCCGGTAAGGGCACTCTCAAATCATCTCAAACACATATGATTCTCCAAATTTACATAGATCGATATCTAATTAGTTCACATACATGGATTAAACTCCAGTGCATATAGCCAGAATCATTTGTCCTCCGCATGGCAAAAATCTACGAGATCACAAATCATAAAATTGCGAAGTTTATGTTGCCATCTTGTATCCATAATATTTGTTATCCCATATTTTGTCATGGCCGATGACCCACATCTGTGGAGTAATAAAACCGATGCCAGTGCATGATCTTGCTTTCACAGTGTAATATGTTGTTCTAGTGAAAGCAAGTAGGAGTGGGTAACTGCACCCGAGTCTACCTTCAGTTCTGCCCCTGAACTCCCTGCTTATGTACAGAGCATGCTAAAGTCTCACACCCCTGCAGTTGAAAACTTAAAACAGTATAAACATGCATGTGCAACACATGTCTTACAAATATAAATGTTGATAATCACGATAGATGCTAATAAGTACTATATTACTGGATGTTGTATGTTTTTGCTAAATTTTTAAACATTTTGTTAACTACAATAACAATCAAGCAGACAATATGGTATTTTACTTCAAGAGTTCACACACGAATAGTTTTTGTATGTCAAGAACACAGAGATACTGAGTGCTGATGACCTGATGCGTAGATGAATTTAACCCATTTGCCAGCTAAAATGTAACACACCACATTAAAGTAGTACTACTATCTAAAATAATATATCACATGCACTAAAGTATTAGAAATATCTTTCAACAAGTATCATCAAATAAATTGAGGTAGATACATGTGGAAACCCTACCGTTGCAAGGTTCAAATCATCAAATATCATCTATTCCAACACATGGATAAATTCGGGCAGTCCATTTGTAGTTGGTTGGCTGTCTGGCCCTTTGCAATACAGTATTAGTTAGCTCCAACCAAATAAATTGTTCTTAAGCTCTGCAAAGACACCTCTTATGTAGCATTCAAGGGAATAAAATCAGTCAAAAATAACAGATATACGGGTATAGAAGCAAGCAGGAATTTGGAGGATCACGACACTCTCATGCTCTATTGCTTGCTCTTCAAAAGAGAACAAGTCATTGAAGAGCACCACACGCCGAACACTTTTTATCCAGTACCTCGTGGGAAATAGCAACAACAATAAATCGTGAAAAATTAATCGTGTGTAACGCACGTCTCAAGCTCTAACCCAGGGAGATTCACATGGTATAAAAATAAAGCAACTGTTGAAAAAAAAATGTGTACTCAATGTTGTGATGCCATTCAAATAGTATTTTCAAAACAAAGTCGCCATTGTGGTCATGATGCTGCATAGAGCAACACCCTGGATCCCTCATGGGCCTATATGGCCGGAGACCTTGGTGGGCGTGTATCCCGGCAACGCCATCTGCGGCCTGATGACTACGACAAAGAATTTGCTCCAGAAGTATAGCTAGCAGTTACTGTATTGTTGGTACGTGACTACTCCGCCACCCCGTCCACTGTTGAGGCTCTTTTGATAGCAGGTGTTGGCCCTAGCTGTGTTAGTGAAAACTAAAGTGATTTTTGAATTTTCAGGTTTAGAGAAATAGGCAGTGCCTAGCTGGCCAGACATCTGAACCTCTCTATATGCAAATTGGAGCGCACAAACCAAGTGAGTTAGCTTCTAAAAAATGAAGACAAAGAGGTTGGTCGGGATACAAGCTCGCCAATGTAGGATTCAGTCAATGCCAAGCACGTGCCAAGCAAGGGTCAATGCCATCAAATAATTTGTGGATGATTCTGTCAATACCATGCAAGGATCGTTTTGAGTGACGTCGGCATCTCACTTTTCCAATGACCCCCGGCTCCCGGCATCGCCGCTGTGCAATCCAGCCGGCAACAGACAAACAAGCAACACACACACACGCCAGCAGAGAAATCATGCCATACCTCCTGGAACTGGAACCACATTTTGATTTTATGTATGAATCGAAAGATTATTCATGCCCATAGAAAATTGAGTTTTCTCAATATTTATGTTCAAGCAGTCAAAGAAGTAACAAGCGCGCACTGCAGATGTTTCAGTGAATGGAAGAGGAGATAAGATGAGAATAAAGTGTTGATGATTCAGTGTTAAACAACCAGTCCATCCATTGGATAGTTTCACTGAGCATTTGAATTTGATAATGGAAAGCAGTACCTGATTATTTATAGCAGATGTCCACCTGGGAGTCTTTTTTATGAGGTTAACATCAGTACAAGAAACACTTGCAAGTTGTTAAACCAAAGACATTGTGTTAGAATATAACTTGGAAGTAATAATCAGAATATCCTGAATATAATTCAGCTTGCACTTCCATGAATCAATCAGAGATAAAGTTGATCTTTATTTGACATTCAATCAAATTAAATTTGAAGCAAGGTAGAAAGATGCAAGTCACGGCAGGGACAAAAACTATCAATTGATGAATTACCTACTCAAGGGTGTGGTGACTGCAGCCTCGTGCGGCATGGAATGACGGGAACGCACAGAGGAGATGCAAGTGACGACACTTGTGCATGGCTGCATGCGGCAAATACCTCGGTGGGAAAGCAGTGGCCATGATGAAATTCTTGACAACACCCTGTAATCAAGAATATAAATGTTGATATAACCTTAAAATTTAGGACTGCTTGATGACTATAAACCTGACAGTAAAGATGTGCATCGCTGAAAAATGACAAATGAAGTTCAGAACGACGGGTAGATGACAATAAATTTCAGAATCTAAAATGGTGATCCACGACATACTCTTGGTTACATCAATTTGAGAAGCACCGGAAGAGAAGTTGAAGCATCACATCACTGAGGAAATACCGTAAAGAAAACAAATCTGAGATGGAAGACCTCCGGCGCGACGGCCTCATGACTGAAGCTTCTTGGCGTGTCCTCTAGCTGCGGATTGGGGAGATGGCGGATACGACACGGGGACGGCGGGGAGGGTCGGCGAGGGCCACTGGGAGGGCGCTGGCATGTCCCCTGACAACAGATTGAGGAGACGACGGGTACGGCGCGGGGCCGGCGGGGAGGGCCGACGAGCGCCACCGGCAGGGCGCTGGTGCAGCCGATCGGGCAACGGGGTGGGCACTCTTGAGGCTGGCGGAGGAGGAAGGGAGTGGTAGCTTCACGTGGGTAAGAGAGGCAGGCGGCGGGGAGCACCGGTTCTTTTGGGCAGGCGGCGTAGCGAGTACAACCACGGCCGCGGGGATGCGCCCCGATCCAACTCCGCGCGCTAGGCGGCCGCCGGAGCCCGCTCGCCGGCGAGCACCTCCTTAGCAGCCACCAGGCCTTACTTCTCCTCCCCTGTCCTCTTATCCTCCCCGAAGATGCGCCGCCTCCCCGATCGTGTTGTTTCTCCTGTATCATATCTTGCCTTTTTTTTCCTCGTATGGCTGAACCAATGCGGGCGGCAGAGTTTTCGTCCGCCCAGGAAAATCGCTAAACGCAGTTTGGGGTGAGGCTTAGCGTAATCTTAATTGTTAGATTAAATTAAATGATCCTGATCTGAGGCTGCAATTGGTCCGTACTGTTCTGTGTAGATTAGTGTGGGTGCACTTAGCGATGAATATGTTTGCTTGTTTAATAGTAGTAGAGATAGTAGAGATCCTGATCTGAGGCTGCAATTGGTCCGTACTGTTCTGTGTAGATTAGTGTGGGTGCACTTAGTGATGAATATGTTTGCTTGTTTAATAGTAGTAGAGATTTTTTATGTAAAAATGGTGAGACCCATACAAAAAGGGTGACTTATAAGTTTTTTTAGAAAGGCCATCATGGTTAGCTTTATTGAAACTTTAACTAGAAATTACATCATCCCAAAGTTTGGAAATAAGACAAGCCGGAGGCTCATTAACCCAACTACTATTGATCTTATTACAGAAACTATGACTAGCTAGCACATGAGCTGCTTGGTTCGACGAACGACCACAATGTTTAAAAGTAACCTGCCCAATAAGCGACGACACGTCCACACACTCGGCGAAAATGGCAGCAGCAGCATCCCACCATCTGGTTTGGCCTGAGCAGTATTCAATAACTGTTGACGAATCTGATTCTGTTTCTACTCTAGGGAAACCAAGAGAGTTTGCAAAAACGAGACCGTTTCTCATTGCCAGAGCTTCAGAGGTGACCACATCTGATACATGTGTTAAGTATTTGCATTGGGCTGCTAGGAAGTTACCTTTCTCATCTCGAATGACTGCTGCCGTTGCTCCAGTACCTTCATCTACATGGAATGAGGCATCCACATTCAACTTCACAAATCTCGGATTGGGTTTCAACCACCTTTTTTCATGGGTATCTCGACTCCTTTGAATTGCTTGATGGAAGTTGTTTGCAATAGCCAGAACTACCATGGGCCATCTCGAGGACTGCGGTGGGGATCCATTGTGAGTGAATTCACGACGGATCCACCATAGGTACCAGCCCCCTACAGCTAGAATTTGCTTGACTTATAAGTTTTAAGTTAGGATAAAGCAACTTATGACTTATAAGTTAGGGTGACTTATAAGTTGGGGTGACTTATAAGTTGGGTCCGTTTGGCAAAATAAATCCTTTTTTTACTTTTCGACTTATAAGTTGGTGAGTTATTTAGAACCAAACAAGCCCTTAGACGCCCCTAAAAAGAAAGACTTCTCACAAACCAATATTTTTTCTCTGATTCCTAAGAGCATCTCCAACCACGCCCCAACAGGCCTCCCATGTGATTTTTTCGTGCCGGCGCCCAAAAATCGGCCCAGTCGCGTCCCCAGAAGATGTTTTTTGCCGGTTCGGGTTGAAACTAGCGTCGGCGGACCAAACCGAAACCGGTGCACTGGGGGGCGTCCAGGGGCGCCGGGGCGAGCGTTTTTGGCATGAAAGAGGCACGCCGAGTCAGCGAGACGCCGCTTCGTTGCCCTCATCGCCTTGGTTGCCGCGGGAATCAATGCGAAGGCTGTCGCGCTGCCGCGCCGGTCAGCCTCCATTGATGCCTCACGGGCGGCGCAGTGAAGGCGTGTCGACGCATGTCCCGCCCTTTCCCGCCATGCGTCGCCCGGCATGCAGCCCGTCGCCGCCCCAGCTGCGGCTATAAAAAGCGACCTCCCCATCGATGGACACCACAGCTCTCATTTCTCTCCTTTCTGGCGCAGAAAGCAACACTCTCCCCTCTTCCCGCCGACGAACAGATGGCCGAAAGCTTCCCAGGCGACGGAGCGTCGCCCGTCGCCACCTCCATGAGTCGGAGACGTGGCTGCTCTATGAGGCCGACTACCCGGTGCCCCCGGACATGCGAGTGCCGAGCGCGTGGAGGCTGAGCATCGGCGGCGTCCCGGTGCCACCGGTGTCCGAAGGGGCGGCGCGGCGGGCCGAGATCGCCCGCATCCGCTCGTCCCTGACGAAGGAGCAGCAGACCGAGCCGCGCTACGTTGCCGACAGCCACACCCTCTGAACCATGTACTTCCAACGCCGCCATGAGGAGCAGATCGCCTCCACCAACGGCGTCATCCCCCGCGACCGCCTCAACACCGACGGGCGGCGCGAGTGGTGGGGTGTGCCAGGCCGCACCCTCGAAGCCGTCCTCGACCACATCAAGACCGGCAACGTGCCGCGCATTGAGTACCCGCTGCGGCCGTCCTTCTCTCACCGCCGTGGTAGCTCCTGGACGCCGCGACGGATGGAGCCGGGGTCGTCCTCGTTGTCGGGCTCCGACTCGCCGGCGCTCCGCCCCGTCAAGCCCAAGCCAGAGGAGACGTCGTTCGGGCGCCGCACCCGCAGCAGTGCCCTCATCATCAACGAGGGTGCCCGGCCCTCCCCACGCGGCTCCCTCTGGCTGGTCCGGCTGAAGCCCGAACCGGGGCTGCTCCCGGTGAAACCGGAGCACGTCGAGATGGCGCCCCCCGACGACGAGTCCGCCCTCAAGTGGGCGAAGGAGGACTACGTCCGGGAGCAAGTACGACGCCGGCGCCGGGCGTACACAGAGCTCCAGGCCCGGCGCCGCGGGCGCTAGGAGGGCGGCAACATCATCGTCGACAGCGACGAGGAGGGCGAGGCCGTGCCGTCCAGCCCCCTCCGCGTGTTGGCGACCCTGGTCAGGGCTACAGCAGGGACGGCGACGGCACATGCCAGGCACGTAATGACGACGACGATGGCGACGGCGGTGACTACACCCGCTTCTACAGGCTTCTGGGCATGTAGACGTCGGCGACGGCGACAGCGGCGGCGGTGGCGACTAGGCGCGTAGTTTGGCGTAGTTTAGGCATAGACATGTTTTTGTACAAATTTCAATGAATTTTCACCGAGTTCGTGTCAAAATCGCCGCGTCTGCATATATTTGTACGGAATATCGTCGAACCCGGGGCGACCCGTGGGCGAACGACTGAGAACAATGTCGTTCACACGCACCAATCTAGCGTCGGCTCGCCCCCAAACGGCTATTTTTGGCACCCTGAAGGCCGAACGGCTGGAGATACTCTAATCCCTCAAAATTGCTGCCTCCTCCTACATGGCTGAGAGATAGATGTTTCCGGTGTTTGTGTCGGGGTCATCGAGCACACTCTTGCAGGGATCCAATCCGTTGCAGGAATTGCCTCTGTTTCGGCCACATTGCTCACTTTTGTCGTGCGAAGCAACCCGTCGACGAGGCTATGCCGCAACCATGTGTTGCTCCACCACCTGCATCCGTCATCCAAGTTGATGTGCCATTACAACCCGTCCTTGAGCAGCAGGCTGAGCTACTTTGCGTTGAGCTTCGCGAATGTCTTGTGCGTGTTGAGAGTGTCTTGGCAAGGGCGGAGGTTGCTCTTGGTAAACTTCAGGTTGTGCCGATTGGGTCTCTACTTCCCGAGCTTCAGGTTGGTTCTGCAGATGGAGAGGAAGTCGACCTCTATGGTGGGTTCTCTCCTCGTGCTAGGCCCTGCTCTATGGTGTCGACTGACGTTGGGGGTGAAGTGATTGTTGAGGTTGTGGCTTCAATTCTACAGATTATGCCTGAGTTGACAGTGCTATGTGAGGAGTCCACTCCACCTCTTTCGGTGGCGATTCCGAAGGAGATGGGCTTGCTAGGGGCTTTGGCGGTGCCCACGACACCCTCACCACCGCCCTTGGAGTCTAGCCAGACTGACTTTGTGGTGTGTGCAGGTTTGGATGCCTCGGTCACTCGCTCGCCTGTGACCGTTGGGCACGTGGTGCCCCCAGGTGGAGATGTTGGGACAAATACGTTGGCACCTTGTTCCGATGCTCTCTTTGCAAAAGAGCTTTGCAGTTTGCTCTCTAGCTTGGAGGCGGCTAGCCCTGGGTCTGGTAAAGCGGTTGCATGCATCCTGACCGAAAAGTTTAACAAAGATAAGATCAAAAAGGTGGAGAAGTCTCTCAAAAGCAAAAACAAGAAGAGTGATGCCTTAGGGAAGGCGTCTGCGGCTGCTTAATGGTTGCTCCTTGGTCTTATGGGCCGTCCTCATGGTTTAGCTTATCATCGTGGTTTTTGGGGGGTCATTTGTCTACATCCGAGGTGTTCTTTTTGGGGATTCCTTTGCGATGTAGATGCGTGTGGGCTTGGGTCCGTTGCTTGTTGGAAATGTCTGTAGGATCGACAGTGCGATTTTGGGGTTTTAGACTTTGGGAGTAGTCCGCATGTGATTTGTTTGTATTGGTTTTCGTCCGGTTTTCCATTAATTAACTGGACAACTCTCTTCTTCTTAATTAATCGATGAGGCAAATCTTTTGCCTCCGTTTCGAAAAAAAATTTATGTCTGAATTGCTCGTACCGACTACAACACAGTGGAACGAAGAGCACGTCCAAACAGTTTTTCGGCCTTGTGATACCGAAGCAATTCTGAGCATCTCGGTGTGTACTAGGAATGTGGACGATTTTTGGGCTTCGCACCCAGATAGTAAAGGCCAATTTTCTGTTAGCTCAGCGTACGAGCTCATAGTCAAGACAAAAACCCAGCGGGAGGAGTGGTCAGAAGGAAGAGAAGTAACAGCGGGTAGCACTAAACAAGAGAAGGACTGGGTGTTGCTATTGAACTTCTCAGTTCCCTCCAAGGTCAAAATAATTTTATGGGGATTAGCATGTCACTCATTGCCTGCTTTCGATGTTCTCCACGATATAAATATCTCCACCGTTGACGCGTGCCCTTTATGTGGTGGCCAAGACTCATGGCGACGTGCCTTGGTAAGTTGCACCATGGCGAGGTGCAACTGGGCTCTTTCAGGTACAGTTTTGGTTGATCTAATGGCGGAAAGTCAAGAAGTAAACGCTAAGAATTTCATCTGCGATATGCAGCAAAATTTGAGCCAGGATCAGTTTGTGACCATGGTTGTAACTTTATGGTCCATTTGGTTTGTTGGGAGAAAAGCAATGTATGAGAGTAGAAAACAGAGCTATGGTTCAGGCCGGCTCAGCCCATTAGTCCCGGTTCAGTGTAGAATCGGGACCAATGTGGACATTGGTCCCGGTTCGTGAGCCCAGGGGGCCGGCCGGGCCACGTGGGCCATTGGTCCCGGTTCGTCTGGACCTTTTGGTCCCGGTTGGTGGGACGAACCGGAACCAATGGGCCTCGCTCCTGGCCCACCACCATTGGTCTCGGTTGGTGGCTTGAACCGGGACCAAAGGCTCCCCTTTAGTCCCGGTTCATGCCACCAACCGGGACCAATGAGGTGCCTATATATACCCCCTCGCGCAAGAGCAGAGCACAGTGCTCTGTTTTTTCTGGCCGAGGGGGAGAGGGCTTTGTGGTGCTCTAGCTCACCTCCTATGCACATGAGGTGTTCGATGGAATGCCCGAGCCACACTACTTAAGCTTTCTCCTCTCGAAGCTCGACCTCCAAACTCCATTTTCCTCGAGATTTGTCTAGATTTAGCGGTCCGTCACACCCCGTCCCCGTCTTCATCGCCGTCGATCACCCGCGCCGATCTCATCACCGACACCACCGTGGTGAGCCTCTTGTTATTATCTTCTTTCTGAAAGGAAAAATATTCTTACTTGTATGTTTAGATAGATACTTGTATCATTTTCTTACATTTATTATTGCATCTTATATAGTGCGATGGTTTTGGTATCCGCCCCCGTCGGCCCTTGTCCTGTCTATGATTCGGATTTGTTATGTATATTATCTTTATAACTATTGGTTCATTTATTGTTTATGAAAATTATGCCGACCAACGTGACATAGATTTTATTTATCTAGGATGTATGTGAATCGGAAATGCCAACCGACCCTATTGTCGAGAGGTTAAATTTAGTTGAAGAAGAAAACAATTTGTTGAAGGAAAAAAAAAATGAGGAGGAGAAGATGATATTGGAGTTGCATGTTGCGGATGTCGTCGATGATCACAAGATCAAGATGGATGCAATGCGCTTGAAGATTAGAAAGATTAGAAAATATGCCATTCATACCGAGGCTTGGTATCATTATGCTGTTGGATCAATTGTTACCTTGATTGCGATTATGATCGCATTTATTTTCGCATTGAAATGTTTTACATAGTTTCAATGTATGGTTTAATTAATTAGATGCTCTGGAGAGCTATATGTTGTTAGATGAGAACTATGTATGCACTTTAGTTTTAATGTGATGATGAACTTCTATTAATTTGGACACTTAATTATATATAATGCACGCAGATGAACCGACAATGGATGTACGGTGACAGACACACCCGCGAGTACATTAAGGGCGTGCATGAGTTTCTCGATGCGGTTGAGGCAAACAAGCAGAATGATTTTATGTATTGTCCATGCACTGAATGTGGGAATACGAGGTCTTACTCTAACCGGAAAATCCTTCACTCCCACCTGCTTTACAAGGGTTTCATGCCACACTATAATGTTTGGACGAGGCACGGAGAAATAGGGGTTATGATGGAAGACGGCGAAGAAGAAGAGTACGATGACAACTATGTGCCCCCTGAATACGGTGATGCTGCAACGGGGGGAGCTGGTGAAGATCAAGAGGAACCAGACGATGTGCCCAATGATGCTGCCATGGGTGAAGCTGCTGAAGATCAAGAGGAACCAGACGATGTGCTCGATGATGATGATCTCCGCCGGGTCATTGTCGATGCAAGGACGCAATGCATTAGTCAAAAGGAGAAGCTGAAGTTCGATCACATGTTAGAGGATCACAAAAAAGGGTTATACCCCAATTGCGAAGATGGCAACACAAAGCTCGGTACCGTACTGGAATTGCTGCAGTGGAAGGCAGAGAATGCTGTGGCTGACAAAGGATTTGAGAAGCTACTGAAAATATTGAAGAAGAAGCTTCCAAAGGATAACGAATTGCCCGACAGTACATACGCAGCAAAGAAGGTCGTATGCCCTCTAGGATTGGAGGTGGAGAAGATACATGCATGCCCTAATGATTGCATCCTCTACCGCGGTGCATACAAGGATCTGAACGCATGCCCGGTATGCGGTGTGTTGCGGTATAAGATCAGACGAGATGACCCTGGTGATGTTGACGGCGAGCCCCTCAGGAAGAGGGTTCCTGCGAAGGTGATGTGGTATGCTCCTATAATACCACGGTTGAAACGTCTGTTCAGAAACGAAGAGCATGCCAAGTTGATGCGATGGCACAGTGAGAACCGAAAGAAAGATGGGAAGTTGAGAGCACCCGCTGACGGGTCGCAGTGGAGAAAAATCGAGAGAAAGTACTGGGATGAGTTTGCAAAGGACCCAAGGAATGTATGGTTTGCTTTAAGCGCGGATGGCATTAATCCTTTCGGGGAGCAGAGCAGTAATCACAGCACCTGGCCCGTGACTCTATGTATGTATAACCTTCCTCCTTGGCTGTGCATGAAGCGGAAGTTCATTATGATGCCAGTTCTCATCCAAGGCCCTAAGCAACCCGGCAACGAAATTGATGTGTACCTAAGGCCATTAGTTGAAAAACTTTTACAGCTGTGGAATGGAAACGGTGTACATACGTGGGATGAGCATAGACAGGAGGAATTTAACCTGAAGGCGTTGCTGTTCGTGACCATCAACGATTGGCCCGCTCTCAGTAACCTTTCAGGACAGACAAACAAAGGATACCACGCATGCACGCACTGTTTAGATGACACTGAAAGTATATACCTGGACAAATGCAGGAAGAATGTGTACCTGGGCCATTGTCGATTTCTTCCGACCAACCATCAATGTCGAAAGAAAGGCAAGCATTTCAAAGGCGAGGCAGATCACCGGAAGAAGCCCGCCATGCGCACCGGTGATCACGTGCTTGCTATGGTCAATGATTTACACTATGTAATCTTTGGAAAGGGACACGCACCCATGTGGAAGAAGAAATCTATATTTTGGGACCTCCCCTACTGGAAAGACCTAGAGGTCCGCTCCTCAATCGACGTGATGCACGTGACGAAGAACCTTTGCGTGAACCTGCTAGGCTTCTTGGGCGTGTATGGGAAGACAAAAGATACACCTGAGGCACGAGAGGACCTGCAACGTTTGCACGAAAAAGACGGCATGCCTCCGAAGCAGTATAAAGGTCCTGCCAGCTACGCTCTTACGAAAGAAGAGAAAGAAATCTTCTTTAAATGCCTACTCAGTATGAAGGTCACGACTGGCTTCTCGTCGAATATAAAGGGAATAATAAATATGCCAGAGAAAAAGTTTCAGAACCTAAAGTCTCATGACTGCCACGTGATTATGACACAACTGCTTCCGGTTGCATTGAGGGGGCTTCTACCGGAAAACGTCCGATTAGCCATTGTGAAGCTATGTGCATTCCTCAATGCAATCTCTCAGAAGGTGATTGATCCAGAAATCGTACCAAGGCTAAGGAGTGATGTGGCGCAATGTCTTGTCAGTTTCGAGCTGGTGTTCCCACCATCCTTCTTCAATATCATGAGGCACGTCCTAGTTCATCTAGTCGACGAGATTGTCATCCTAGGGCCCGTATTTCTACACAATATGTTTCCCTTTGAGAGGTTCATGGGAGTCCTAAAGAAATATGTCCGTAACCGCGCTAGGCCAGAAGGAAGCATCTCCATGGGCCATCAAACAGAGGATGTTATCGGGTTTTGTGTTGACTTCATTCCTGGCCTTAACAAGATAGGTCTCCCTAAATCGCGGTATGAGGGGACACTGACTGGAAAAGGCACTCTTGGAAGAGACTCAATAATATGTAGGGACGGATATTCTTGGTCTCAAGCACACTACACAGTTCTACAGAACTCTACCTTGGTGACCCCGTATGTCGATGAACACAAGAACAGTCTGCGCTCCAAACACCCGGAGCAATGCGACGACTGGACTACATGTGAACACATCACGACTTTCAGTAGTTGGTTGGAAACACGTCTCAGAGGTGACAACACTATTTGTGATGAGTTGTACTTGTTGTCCAGGGGACCATCTTTGACTGTATTGACTTACAAAGGATACGAGATAAATGGGAATACATTTTACACGATCGCCCAAGATCAAAAGAGCACCAACCAAAACAGCGGTGTCCGCTTTGATGCAGCAACCGAGAGCGGAAAGGACACATATTATGGTTACATAGTGGACATATGGGAACTTGACTACGGACCTGATTTTAAGGTCCCTTTGTTTAAGTGCAAATGGGTCAATCTGTTAGGCGGTGGGTACAGGTAGACCCACAGTACGGAATGACAACAGTGGATCTGAAAAATCTTGGGTACACTGACGAACCGTTCGTCCTAGCCAATGATGTGGCACAGGTTATCTATGTGAAGGACATGTCTATCAAACCGAGAAAAAGAAAAGATAAGGAAGCGAATACATCATACGATGAGCCAAAGCGCCACATAGTTCTTTCAGGAAAAAGGGACATCCTGGGAGTGGACGGGAAGACAGACATGTCTGAAGATTATGAAAAGTTTCATGAAATTCCTCCCTTCAATGTCAAGGCTGACCCAAGCATCCTGATAAACAATGAAGATTATCCATGGTTACGGCGCAATAAGCAAATGACACAAGCGAAGAAAAAGTGAAGACTTTCTCCCGCAACTATTATGATGATATATACCATGCCAAATTTGTAACAGACGAACATGCTACCATTGTCCGTTTTGTACATGCACATGCTATGTGGGTGAAATTATGATACCATCCCAACTTTCAACTTTTTCAGAGTTCATTTGAAATGCTTTCATGTCTTATGGTTTGAAACTTTGATACTTCGAAAGTGATTGTCCATTTTGTACACGAAGTGCATCAAGTTTTTGTCATAACCCTCTCTACTTTTTGGAACATGCTATGTGGGTGAAATGATGATACCATGCCAACTTTCAACCTTTTCAGAGTTCATTTTGAAATGCTTTCTAATTTCAGAGTCATTTAGCTCAAAGAATGAATTAATAGCAAACAGAATAAACTACAAAACTTTTATGAAAATAAAAAAAATTAATTAAAATATTATGTTATGATCAACTAAAATAAAACTATAATATTCTTCAATAGCAAAAAGAATATAATTTTTGTGACCTAAAATCAAACTATAAGTATTTAATTGTAAGTATAAATAAAAAATAAATAGCAAAGAAGAAAATTTCTAATTTTATAGTAAAGTTATTCATAAACTAGTGATTCACACAAATTTTTAAAAATTCAAA